ACTCATTACATTTTTTAAAAATATTCTTATCGTTAAATAAAATATTTTTAAAATAATCAAATTATAATAATATAATTAATTAATTTGCTAAATTAAACTACTCACCCTAATTTCAATGCTAAACCACCATTATTAGTTTGCTAATCTAAGATTCCATTCACTTCCTAATCAAAATTTCAATTTCTGATGTGAAATTATACTATTCTTTGCCTGATACTTCCAAACCCCAAAATTTGAAAACTTTGGGTACGATAGATAAGCTGTATATTTAATTATTTATTATAAATATGACGCTTTCACTATTATGTATTAAAATATTTTTGTGGCTTTCTGTCGTTATAAATGAACACCTGATAAAGGAAATTGAAGAGACGTCTCTTTAGATCTTCGTGGGGTCAAATATGATTAGCTTACTTGCCAAGAAAGGAAGAAGATTCTGCGAGATTACAATTATTAATCAGCATTCAGAATGTGACCTAAGTTGTTAATCAAATTAAATAACTATGATGATTATCATATTTAGGGGTGTCAATTTTTGACACAACCCAAAACCCGATCCGAAAAAATCCGGGTTCGGGTCAACCTGAACCCGAAATGGGTCGGGTTCGAGTTGAACAAATCAACCCGTTTTAAAAATCGGGTCGGGTTCGGGTTGACCCAGCAACCCGAAATTGACCCGAAAGTCACACGAAAACCCGAGATTGACCCGTTTTGACCCGAAAAATAGAATATTAACTTGATTTTTTATCCGAAAATTAGCAATTTTAGGTCACCTTCGAGTCGGGTTGGGTTGACCCGAACAGTGTCGGGTTCGAACCGAACCCAACCCGCTGACCCTTATTGACACCCCTAATCATATTTAGGATCTATTTGAGATGGATGTAACATTTTATAAAGTTCATTATGAAGGCTTCATTTGAGGCGACTGTTTTTTTTTTTTTTTCTTCTTCTTAAAGCAACTTTCTAGTATAAAAAATTTAATTTTTGTGCTAAAAAAATGCTTTAAGAAGCAACAAAAAAGTCATCCCACGAAGTTATTGTAGAGAAAGCAATTGCTATTCCATTTCAAAAAAAAAGTAGTTTTCCAACACATTTTTTTTTTAAATAGTAAGAAAGCATCATGAAAATAGTAGCCAAATAATTTTTGGCTGCTTTATGAAGGGGTGTCAAAATGGGTCAACAGATCTGATTCAGATCCGACTCAAAATTGACTCGACCTGAAACTGATCAACTAGAACCTGATATGTTTAATAAATGAGTTAAAAACTAGAACTTGAATTCGATCAACTAGCAACTTTAATTAAAAAGATATTTTATTTACTTCTTAAACATAGATTTCATGTTAAATGATCAAGAAAAACCTGACCCGTTTTTAAAAACGGGTCGGGTTCGGGTTGACCCGAACAGTGCCGGGTCAGTTCCGATTCGACCCGAACCCAACCCGCTGACCCGAATTGACACCCCTAATCATATTTTGGATCTATTTGAGATGGATGTAACATTTTAGAAAGTTCATTATGAAGGCTTCATTTGAGGCAACTTTTTTTTTTCTTCTTAAAGTAGCTTTCTGGTATAAAAATTTTAATTTTTATGCTAAAAAAATTCTTTAAGAAGCAACAAAAAAGTCATCCCAAGCGAAGACGAAGTTATTGTAGAGAAAGCAATTGCTATTCCATTTTTTTAAAAATAGTTTTCCAACACATTTATATATTTTTTTAAATAGTAAGAAAGCATTATGAAAATAATAGCAAAATAAATTTTGGCTGCTTTATGAAGGGGTGTCAAAATGGGTCAACAGATCTGATTCAAGTCCAACTCAAAATTGACTCGACCTGAAACTGATCAACTAGAATCTGATATGTTTAATAAATGAGTTAAAGACTAGAACCTGAACTCGATCAACTAGCAACTTTAATTAAAAAGATATTTTATTTACTTCTTAAACATAGATTTCATGTTAAATGATCAAGAATAAAATATTTTACTAATAAAAAAAGAATTTAAGGAACTAATTCTAAAAGCGTCATTTTCATGCCAATCAAATTGTCGGATCGATCTGAACCCAACTCATTTAACAAATGGGTCAAAATAAACGAGTCAATCTTAGCCTTAATTTTTTAAGTTGGGTTAGCAAGTCAAGTCATTTATTAACCCCTAACTATATGAAAATAAAGCAACAAAAAACTGTCTCAAATAGATATTTGTTTATTAAAAAAGACTTCGTGCTAAAAGTATTTCTTTTAATCTAAATTTTAAATATAATTGAAAATTAATACAAGAACAACACCAAGCCTTGGCCTTATTCTACTACATGCGGTAAAAATATTTTTCTCCATTATGTCATATTAAAAATTATATATTTTTTTGAATTTAATAAAAAAAAAAGATTATGCTGAGAATTAATAGTGAATTATAAATTTCAAATAGTATAAGACTATATTAAAAATCCTAATAACACAAAAATATCAATTCCGAGCTGATCTGGAATTTTGAAAGTATATGGGATATTTTAAATTTTTGTATTGACAGAAATTGTTTCTATTTACTCAAATTAATGCATTTTTTTATATATTTAACTACATATTTACATATACACTACACGTGTATACTTTTATTTACTTTTTAAAACAATCAGAAAGAAAGTCTCCATCAGAATTATTATTTTGCCAATAAAAATATATAAATTTTTGTGAATAAAACCAGCCATCAAAATACTTTTAATAAATAAAAAAATTTAAAAAATATTTTTTTTGCCTTTTTCATATCATATCGGTTTCCCTATTTGTTTTTGTTTTTTTTTTTTTTGTGGAAAAATTTGGGGCCGGAGCCCATTTCATTCCAGCAAAAAAGAGTACATTAAGAAGATTGACTACTACCACAACCTACCAGTAGTAGTCAATAAAATTATCAGCATTAAAAAAGCTGCATAACAAAATAAAACTATAACATCCTATCAGCCATATCTACAGAAAAAATGAAGACAGAAAAGAAAAAACAGAACTGCTCAAATAATTTACCCAAAAGCCACAAATCCACACAGCTAAGGAGACAAAACTAGCTGGTAGACTTAAAGTTCAGGTTCCGCATAAAAGAACTCCCAAGCCAGAGATATCCTGGACTCATAGTTTGAAAATTTGATCGCAGCACAAAGATAGTTCCTTGGTTGCCCAAAGGCCTTCCAAGGGAGCCCATTAACGGGAGTTTCATCATTGTCCAGGTTGGCTTATAGAATATGAAATCTCCGATTGCATCGAAGGGCCACATACCTGCCAGCTTACAATAGTTCCAGATATTCCAAAGAATTCTCCCATTTTGCGATTTTTTCATAGATATTCCTTTTAATATGAAACAACAATGTGTTGTGACAGTTAAAAGAATTCCCAAATCTTCTTCCATCCTTTCTTTCTATATGTGATATATAATACAACAAACAATCACATAAAAGAAGTTTTTAACCTCACATTACTTTTGTAATGCACTTTTAACCATTCAAAGACCTGCAGTATAGAAGGCCTAAGTAGAAAGCAATTCATACCAGGAATTAATGCAGTAAGTATAGAGAATGAGTAAGAGCATTCAAAGAACAGATGAGTAACTGATTCGTTATAAGAATGACACAGGTTGCAAGTGCCAGGAACCCTTATGTTTCTTAAATTGAGAGCATCTGCAGTCTTAAGTCCATCAACTAAAGCCAACCAAACAAATACCGAGTGTCTTAGGGTATTTCTTTTAGCCCATATCAATTTATGCCATGAGTAAGACTGAAGATCAACGTATGAAGCAGGTGGTGGGTAGTTTCCCCATTTGTTATGTCTCATTCTTATGAAGCAGGTGGTGGGTAAGTTTCCACCCCTACGCAATTCTGACCTTTTGTTCTAATTCTTACGATATTATCCCGACCCTTCATTACATTTTAAATATTTAAAAATTCAAAAAATATATAACCTAATTATGATGCTTAATTAATAATAGATTCAATTTAAGAAGTTATTAATTCAAAGTGACTAATTAAAACTTATTTATTAATTACATTGTATCAATTAATGACACATAAATGTTTCGAGCCAAATAATTAATAACCCACCACGGGTTGTCTTGGTGGTAAAGAGCTATTTATTAATTATATAGTATCAATTAATGACACATAAATGTTTCGAGCCAAATATTTATAATTAAAATTCATTATAATTACATTTGTTTTGGTAAATGAAACATAAAAAATTCAAAAAATATATAACGTAATCATGCTACTTAATTAATAATAGATTCAATTTAAGATGTTATTAATTCAAATTGGCTAATTAAAATTTCTTAATTAATTATATTGTATCAATTAATGACACATAAATGTTTCCAGCCAAACATTTATAATTAAAATTCATTATAATTACATTTCTATTGGTTCAGTCATTTCCCTCCGTTAATTTCTTAATTAATTATCGCATTTTTTCAGGCATGACTTTCCAAAACATTAATCCTGGCCCTCACGTCCAACGAATATGCAATAAATACTCAATCAATACGCAAGTCAAATAAATATGGCGGATTTTTAACTTTTCACGTAAGCATCCGAACACAGCTCTATAACCGGATTCCGCACAGAATAATTTCTCCCTGGTACTACCTTTGTCTGCCCTAGCTTCCCACAAGCCTCTTCTTCGTTCAATCATTTCCACTCTTTCTCTCTCCTTAGGGGCTCTTTGGCAACAAGTGGAATTTAATTTTAGTAGGATTTAGTAAATCCTGTAAATTTGGATTTAGTAAATCCAAAATGTGTTAAATTCTGAAAACTGTTGAGAAACTGTTTGGTACATATTTCAAGATTTATGATAGTTAGGGATTTAATTGTGAAGAAAATAATTATAAATTTAAAAATAAATACAACAAACAACAACAACAACATCAAGCCTTTATCCCACTACGTGGGGTCGGCTACATGAATCCTTTTTCTTAAGGCGTCTAGGTTTGCCTTTCATCCTCTCTTTTCGTCCTTGCTGCTCGGCTTCGTTGCTGCAGGTGGTGTATAGATTGCACGCGTCGCTTCTTCGGCTCCTTCCTGGCTATTCGACTTCGCTCCTTCTACGACTTTCCCTTCCTGTCCGATCGGAAGTTACGACATTTTGATCGGAAGCAAGAACAGGAGCTCGCTAGCTGTGAATGTAACTTTCCCCCTTTCGCGCGCTTCTTCGGCTAAATCCCGTTAAATCCACCGAACCGAGGGATTTAGTAAATCCGGGATTTAAGCCATAAATCCCTAAATTCGGGATTTATGAAATCCCGGGATTTAACGCTCGCACAAAAACCGTTTGGCTGGATTTAGCGTAAATCCAACTTAAATCCCAACATAAATCCGATACCAAACAGCCCCTGAGAGAGAGAGAGAGAGAGAGAGAGAGAGAGAGAGAGAGAAAAGGGGGGAGAAAATGGGGTCGAGGGAGTGGTTGAAGAAGGCTCTGGTGGATATCTGCGGTAGAATGGAGAGTGCTTTGGATCTGGACGCCGATCTCATATCGGGGCTCGTCTCCTTCTGCGAGCTGGCGCCGCCGCCTGACGCTGCTGAATACCTCATGGTATGCATTTGGTTGCCGGAGTTGGCTCTTTTAATTACTCAGCCCACGTTGATTGATATCGTATTCGTTATGATCGCTTGTTTTGCTCCCTCGGAATTGAACCGAGTTGGTTATAATATATATATTATATATAGTTTGTTTCCCATTCAATTGATCGAAGAAACCTAGTTTCTTAAGTCACCGCTAGTTTATCGCTGATGTGTTTTTGACTTTTTATTTCCTAATTATCGATTTTTTTTTTCCTTTTGAAGCTTACTGGACTTCAACTGAAATATAGGGTTCCATATGAATGAAGTATAGAAGTTTCAGTTTTGGGAAACTCATGTTGACGAAGCAAGTATTGTTTATAACTATCATATTGCTGCCCCTGCCTGAAGATGGCTGGTAGAAGCCATAATCGTTTTAGATATGGAGAAATTTTGACATAAATATGATAACAATACAAGGGGATGATCAAGAGACTAAGGGTTGCTGGAAATTCATTAACCCTGTAAATCAATTCAAGGGGAACTAGTTAGTTTGGAAAATCATATTAACTAGTAAATAAGCAATATTAAACCTGGTTGGAAGTGCTTCTTACTTCAAGAAGATGTCAAGCCCAAGTTTAACAAGACAATATATAGAATTGAGGCTTTTTGCCTTGGTAAGGCAAGGCAGAAGCCTTAAAAGAAAAAAAAAACTTATTAAAGTAATAATGATTCATAAATATGTTATAAATAATCAACAAATCAACTTAGTTCATCATCACTATCCATAAAATTAAATAAGAAAGATAAAATAAATCTCAATTTAAAGTGAAGCAATATTTAAGATAAGCCCTCACTTAAAATTTAAATATGCTATGAGGATTAGGATTCACAGCATCCTCTTCAGAATAGTCATCATCTAGAACAATTCAATCATTCTTATCTGAAGATGCTTATAACTTAGATATGCTAGACTTGAACCATAATTTTAACTTGAAGATATAGTTTAAAAAGAGATTTTAAATCATGTATTAATTTGAGGCATTCACCTTAACTCTTTTAGGTATAAAGCCTTGAGGCACACACTTCACATGAAAAAGGTGCAAGCCTAGCCTAGAACATAAATCTTAAGCCTCAAGGCGAATTCTTAAGCCTCAAGGTGATTGTTCAACACCTCATAATGAGGAGCACCTATAGGCGAACGCCTTTTTAAACCATGGGAAAGACAACATCTCTTTTGAGGAATTGTCATTGCTGATGGATTCCCTATATTTCCTAATTCCTTTTTCTAGCCCTCTGTTTATGTTTTCCCTCTTTGCAAGCACTGAGAATCCACCCACCTCTATAATTGTTGCTCTTTTTTTAAGACCCTACAATGAACTTGGTATGAGAATCAAGAACATACAATGGAGTCTTACCTTACTACCATTTTTTTAATTACATATCAGCCCATGTCCTTGCTCTCTTTGAAAACCGTACCTGCAAAAAAAAAAAGACATCCAGTTGCTACAATTGGAGGCCCTTCCTATCGTTGGAACTTCTTAAACTTAGAATGTATGCTTGTAGGAGATGACAACTGCAAATTCATGGTCGATTGTGGCAAAGTTTGAGACTCACCCTACCATGACTAACATCAGTTTCCAACACTTCCTGCAAACAAGAAAACCTTAAAAATCAACACGAAGACAAAGAAAACACAAAGAGTGAGTAGCCTTAAATTGATTTTAAATCCCTTTATAGTAATAATTGCTAAGTTTATAAAAATGCCCTATGTAAACAAAATATTAAAAAAACCCTAAATTAAAATAATAACACAAATAACCCTATTAAACATTTTATTTATTTACCTATGTCATTTTTCCCGGGCTGAAGAAGCTCATCCTCAATTTAGTAAATATTTTCTTGCTTGTAATAAAGTTATATATCTGTTACATTAAGTTGCAGATATGCTTGTATTCCCCAGTAAGTCAATTTGATAAGAATTTTCTCTATATATCACCCAAAAAGGATTCTTGGATTTGGGTGTAAGTTTTGCATAAATTCTTTGGGGAAAGTATTACTTTAGTAAATGAATCAAAACTCGATTGTCCTATTTCAAAAGGAGTAGAAGTGTGAGATATGCTAGCTTGATTTTGGTATTTGATGACCTTTATAATCATATCTTGTACCTATTGATGAAACTTTTTGATCTCACTTGCTCTTTTATTTGCATCTATATTGATTTCATTGTTAGTTATAAGTGGAGGCAGTTCTATGGGACAATACTATCATATTGTTTGTATGCTATTTTAAAAGGACTACGACCAATAGTTTGACTAATGGATCTATTGTAAGCAAACTTTGTTTGGGCTAAAGATCCTTTTGCTTAGTATGTTTTTTCCCACAAAACATCACGACAGATTTTTAAATTGTAATTAAAAAATTTGTTTGGTCTGTAGTTGCGGATGAGCCATGGAGGAGTTGAATTGAAGTTTTGTTCCCAACTTTTGGTGTAAAATTATTAGAAAATAACTTCAAATTTGAGTATCCCAATTGGAAGTAATGGACTTTGGAACACCATGTGATTATACAACCACTCAAAGTAAAGATCAACCTATATGAAGCATACAAATTGCTTTGTTTCATGATGTGCCACTACCATAGTTGAATCTCTATGATCTTAGTACTTGCAAATCCTACCACAAAATTCATACTCACGTCTATCCATAACAACTCAAGTCTACACAACCTCATCTTTTAGCTTCTTATTTCAGGGATTGACGTTACAGATCCTGCAACTCTTGATGATAAGTTATTCTACATGACACCGGACCGGAGGGGGCTCGACGAATCCACATCGACGATCCGGTGACCGTGACCGAACACTACTCCAAGAACTCCTTGGAAGAAATCACCACCTGAATGCACTTCAGGATACAGAAAAAGAAACCAAACTAAACTCAAATTTATTCATCTCCACCTATTACAAGACAACATCCCTTATTTATAGAATTTGTAGGCTACATAAAAGGCAATAGGCCTAAAGAAAAATATAAAAACAAAACTATCTAATTATGTGGCTAATACAAGGACTGAAGTTTATAATAAACGAATCGAGCAATAGCTCCGGCGTCATTCTACCGGGGTAGGGGAAACTTTAGGCTTGTAGAAAGATGTTCGATTGGCCACAATAAGGAGGCGGGTTTGGTTGGCTAAACCGATCTGGATAGGTCCACCCGATGTCAACTTGTCTACCAATTTTCAACATCTCAAGTTTAACACAAGTGGATGGAACATTTGTGATTGTGAAATCATTTGGAATCATTTGTGTTTCTTTCAACATCCTAGAGAAGTAAATGGAAGCTTCAATATCCAACCAATTGGGGAGATCTTGAATTGCAATTTTTTTATTAGAGATGGCGATCGAGTTTGTTGCCTTATTGTGAACACTAGGAGTGAATAGCTCATGCTGGACATCTGGCTCGCTCTGATCATCATCATGCAAAGGCTTATCAACATCAAGAACTCCCAAGACTATGTCGTCATCATACTCGTCATATACAGGCTCATCATAGACAGGCAAAGATGATAATTGCGACAACGGATCTTTAAGCCTATTGGAGATGGACTCAATCGAAGGTGCCGAGAAAGACATATGATTTGGTCCTTTAAATATGTCTTTGTAGGAAGAAGGGATTTGATCAACTGAGATACACTCTTCCAAACTAGAAAGATCTTGAGAAAAAGAATGAATTTCTTCATCCTTTTGTTGACGTTCACCCGCTTTCCTTTGCTCAAGTCTTGCTAACCTTTGTTGTAACAGTTGTATTTCTCTTTGTAGTTGCTGAATCACCACTTTTGGTACTTGTTTTTGTGAATTTCTACAAAGCCACATGTCTTCAAGGTCTTCTTGGTTGATTAAAGAAGTTCAGCTGTTGATGTAACGTTAGTTTTCTAGATGGAAAAGAAGACAACTGCATATAATGGATGTGGAAGCAGTCTTCAAGAGGCGAAAGTCTTCTTATTGGGTCAGCTGGAAAGAGGCATAGCGGATCCACTTGACCATGTGAAAGAAACAATTATTTGAGTTGGGGTAGAGGAGAAATGGGAGGCTGTAGGCTGCTAACACTTGAATTCCAATAAACTGCTGTTGTAAGAAGGAAAGAACTGACTCAGAACTTCTTTCTGCACCGCCTTTGAAAATTTCAAGAAAAAGTTAGGCAAGAGCAAGAAAACAATGGATGGTAAGATTTTCGATTTGCAGAGTTAAATCTTTTCATATCCGCAGGACGTGGTAGAAGATTTGCCAGGATAAAAGGAGAAGCTTGCAAAATTCTGTTTTTGAGAGATGAGAAAGAGAGGGTGTCGACGCCGGAAAACGTCAAGGAACTGCCATCGGTGACGCCATCATCTTGCCGGCTCTGATACCAAATGACACCGGACCGGAGGGGGCTCGACGAATCCACGTCGACGATCTGGTGACCGTGACCAAACACTACTCCAAGAACTCCTTCTTGGAAGAAATCACCACCTAAATGCACTTCAGGATACAGAAAAAGAAACCAAACTAAACTCAAATTTATTCATCTCCACCTATTACAAGACAACATCCCTTATTTATAGAATTTGTAGGCTACATAAAAGGCAATAGGCCTAAAGAAAAATATAAAAACAAAACTATCTAATTATGTGGCTAATACACTACCATAGTTGAATCTCTATGATCTTAGTACTTGCAAATCCTACCACAAAATTCATACTCACGTCTATCCATAACAACTCAAGTCTACACAACCTCATCTTTTAGCTTCTTATTTCATGGATTGACGTTACAGATCCTGCAACCCTTGATGATAAGTTAGTTTACATCCTTATGAATAGTTGGCCAATAAAAAATTTATTTTATAAGGGCGACAATCTTATCGTGCACAAAATGACCCGCAAGCCCTCCTTTATGGCATTCAAGTAAGATAACATATCATAACGAACATTGTGGAATATACAATCTATTTTAAAGAATAAATACATATTTTGGAACAATAATATGCAACTTCTTGTCATTGTTGATATTTATTCTCAAAATGTTCTTTATTGGGATAAAGTTTATTAGTAAGACACTACCTAGAGATATCATCATCTTATGAGAATTTTGTAATATGGTATAAGGTTTTTTATAGTCGCAAACTCCTATGGTTGATTACTCCTATATAATAAGACAAAACATTCAATTAAGATTAATCAATGAGTTCTATCATGCATAATTTTTGGTAGAGTGACGGCAAATTCAATAAATATTCCTAAGGTTCGATCGTCTTTGATTTTCATGGATCCAGATCAATTTAGTCAAGGAACATAGCCAACCCAACCTTGTTAAAGGATCATTGACAACAATCATAGGTTGTGTCATCTAACTGAATTTCATAAAATTGGTATGAAAAACTTGTAAAATTGGCTAGTTCAAAATTGGAAATGGCTTTGTGCCTTATCAAATGCATCTTTTATCTGGCAACTCATAGGCTTAGTTATTGGGGAATATTTGAGCTTAGACAATAATTATTGTATAATTATACAATCACAATCAAGCTAACCACCTGATCATGAGGCATGCTATGTTTTTTATTGACGTGAGATTTTTAAGAGCGGTTATATGGATACATTTGATATGATATCAACTCTTTCTGAGATTTGGCCAAACTTAAAACATTCATTCTTAGCAAATTGGTGCGAATTGAGCGCAAAGAAGCTGATGATTACTTGAGTTTTTTTTTGGTGTATTTTTTGTTTTCTTTTGTATTTTTAAGATTTGAATAGAGTTTTCTCCAGTTATATGATTTTATTTGATTATGCTCATCATTGTGAAAAGACCCTAAATTTTTGTCCTTGGGAATTTAAGAAGGCATATTATTATGAGAACACACTCTTTGATAATCGAAGCCATCATTTGGATGGCTAGAATTGTTTATCCCTGTGATTGGGTGTTGTAATGATATTGGTAAACCCTCTTTGGTTATGATATTCTAATAAATGAAATTATTCTAAGGTTAAATGACTCGAGCCTCAAAATATAAGTTTTGACCATTTTAGGTTTGATAGATTCAATTCAATCATACAATTCTTAAACTATTGGGAAGTCTTTGTTAATTGGCATTATTGAGGTCTGTTGAATTTGAGAAGCATTTAAACATCATCCTGATCATCAGGCATGTTGAGTAGGAGTTTATACCTCATGATTGTCTTTTGGCTTGGCGACGAAGAAGACTGTTTGTAGTTTTGAAAGATCGACTATCTCTATACTTCTCTGACATGTGCTTTTGTGGTGCACTTTTTTTTTTCCAGCTTTGTTTGTTGATGCTGCGCACACCTTAGAATTCTTCTTTTGTAATTTATGAAGCTTTTTTTTATTGGTTAAAGAAACTAAGATTTCACAATTTTACATCTTGAGCATTTGAGTTTTGTATTGAGGTTGATTCCACTGGTTATGACCATATAAATCCTTACTCGTCGTCAGATGAACTTACATTGATCTTTTAATTTTTAACACATGCATTTGACACGGGTCTCCTCAAGTTATGATTTGTTATGAGTGCACACCCATCAGAGGTTTTTGAGGCTTGAGTAGTTTGTCTTAGCTTATTTATATTATATCTACGATTGAGTAGAAATTGATTTGTATTTGGTCGATTTGGAGAATGAAACTCACAAGGCTAAATTTGATTGCGTCGATTTAATATTGAGGACTAAGTATGTTGGTATGTAAATCGAGACAAAGAATGCTTATATTAGTTGGAGTGAGCATTCTTCATAATTATGTTTAATTTGTAAGTTTTTTGTTTCCAGCAGGCGATCCTTAGTATTTTCCCCATCACTTGAAGTTGGCATTGGAACTTTGCTTGCTTCACTTAATTAGTCAGCATCGAAATGGATAATTAGGAATTTTGGCAAAAATAGACTGATCTAATCATGAAAGTTTTTTGGATCAGGTGATCTTGCATTATCTTATTTGTTTTGGACAAATGTTTTTTTTTTTTTTATTTGGCCATCTCAACTTTGTTACATATGAATAGAGGATCAAGGCTTTAGACGTTGCTAGAGTGTGGGCTTCTTGATGCATGACTAATTAGATGAAATGCTTATGGATTCATTTGAACATTGCACATCTATTAGATTAGAACAATTTCGGAATAAAATTACGAGCAATTTCAACGAAGAATTAAAACAAATGAGGAGATCTCTTGCGTAGGCTACATCACATGCTCCGAGTTTTGAATTCTCAAGATAATTAAGAGAATAAAAGCAATACAGAATAGTAGTTTTCAAGTTAAGCCCTAATCTAACAACGAGATTTAGGATGCAGAGAAAGCACGCTCAATTCCTATGAATTACTAGGCTTAGCACGAGCACTTGGAGGAGACTTTCGTGATTAAGATCAAACCAATGAGAATTTAGATTTCAAAGAAATAAGATGCAATCATGCAAGTGAAGAAAAGAAACCTTTGCTAAGGAGACTCAGTCTCCGGGTCCGCCATTCATGAATGCTCAAGGATGATCTCTTCCCAATAATGTCAGCAATCTCGAACTTTGTTGTAGAGAAAGAAGTTTCTCAAATAAATGGTTGGGGATCTACTTCCAAGTGTTGATCTCAAAACCTGAAATTGTGTTCAGGTTTTGCTCCAGAAATCTGAGAGAATTCTCAGATTATTTGGTGTAATAGAAGAGGCTTGGAAGAAAAGAACTCAAGGCATCCAAAGACTCAGCCTAATGAGAGAAGGTGGAGGTTGGAGAGGAGAGGAGAGGAGACGGGTATGAGAGGGAGGCAGGTGTTGGGCGGCAAACAAAGAAAAGAGAATAGGGGAAGACTTGATCTATTTCTTAAAGTGACGTGACCACTTAGGCAACAAATCAATCCTAGCAATGTGAGTAGGAAATTCGGTCAAGAGGGATTTATGGGTGATTTCAAATTATTTCCTAAGTAATAGATGAGATTAGGAAATAATTCAAAAGAATTAATGGGATAGGGAAAGAGGGTCGGCGGCATGCATGGGTGAGTGGGTGAGTTAATGAGGGCCAATCAGGATTCCTAATTTACGGTTCTAAGTTTAGGAAAGCTTTGATTTAAATCATCTTGAATTTAAAATTCAAATTTAGACTAAATCAAATATTTTCCTAAAATAGATGAGATAATTTAGGAAATATTTTGAATTCAAATTTGAAGGGATTTGAATTTCAAATTAATTCCAAATGATCCCAACCTAAATTAGGAAACAAAATAAGAGAATCAAAGGGAGTGGGGGCCGGCGGCTAAGGAGCTATGGCCGGCGGCCAAGTGAGGTCGGGTAGAGGTGGCCGGGGCTATGAGGGATTTTAGTAGAGCTGGGTGTGTGGAGGAAGTTGAGGGAAATTTCGGTGGAGATGGAGGATACGAAGACGAAAGATGGACGGTGGCGAGGGAAGACGAAAATACAAAGAGAAAAACCACGAACCCGGCCGTATCCAAGGTTGGTGGGTGATGCGCCGATCTCCTTCCTCTCTTAGGAAGCTCTCTCCATTAGAACTCTCAATGCACTCAAAAACAAGTGTAGGAAGAAAACTCAATACTCATTCATTCATTAACTCAAAACAAAGAAAATGAGGCTATATGTAGCCGGGTACAAAGACTCAAGAAAATAAAAGACCAACTTGCCCTTTGGGCTTACATGCGACAACTCCCATGAAAGGGGTACAAAGGGAAATAAAAACGTCACCTAGGCAAATAAGAAAATGCATGAATAAAATAAAATACAATCATGACTCATAAATACAAAGACTCGATCGTGGCCGTAGATCGGCGGCCACGTCTCTGATAAATCTTCCATGCTAATCTGATGTCCCCATCACTCCTCCATGAAAATTATCTTTTCTCCCTCAATGGATTATGAATTGAAAATGATTTTTTGACTTCTCTACATATTACATGGATGAATTTACCCTTATTTATGGAGAAGTTACTTTAAGTCAATAATAAATTTTCATGGAGGAGCTGTTTTAAGTCCACTCCTAATCTTCAACAATACTCATCCTTTATCTAAACATGGTTTGACCATCACATGTATGATTCATGCAAAGTAGTATAGTAAATGCATAATTTTCTTTAGCAATATATTGCTACAAACTCCTCATTCATTAATATGCTAATTGATTTATTTTTAAATTACTTTTTTCTCCAAACAACAACACCAAACATTTATCCCACTACGTGCGGTCGGCTACATGAATCTTTTTTTTTTTTTTTTTTTCATTTTGTCATGTTAAGAGTTAAATTCTCATTTAAATCTAATAAAGAAAAATCATTTTTAATATTTTCCAACGAAGTCTTTTCAGGTCTACCTCTACCTTGTGGGCTCTGAAAAATTTTTCCCCGGTCGCCCCTCTTTCAGGAGCGTTTTAATGGTGTTTCGGGTCAAATTTTCAATAGGCATATTGAGTTTTAGATAAAGCACTACCCAAAGATTTTGTTTTCATTTGGTGAAGACTTTATAATTTGGTTCTAGATTTCCTATAGGCGCGAGCACCTATAGTTAATTACCTCTCCCAATAATGAGAGTGAACTTTCGATTAAGGCTAGTCATTAAATATATACAAAGTAGCTATCATATAGTAACTACATGGGGATTTTTTTATTATAAATTTATTATTTTTATACTTAAAGCAGATGTTGTCAGAATAAAGTAGAAATTTCTGAGTAAGTCAAATTAAAATGCTTATTCAGCTGCATCTTTTGACTTGCTACCCAGTTAAGCCTTGCTGTCCTTCAATCAATTCTGACATTAGCGTCAGCAATTTGACATCATTCATTTTTTGTTTAACAATTTTCTTTTTATTGGTTTCATCAGTGTGATTTCTTAAGATATACAAAATACCGAAATGTTTGCATTTTTTGATCTTATATTGACGATGCAGAATATCATAGGTCCAGAAGTCGGTCAAGATATTATTAAAGGTTATTTGGAAATAAGAGGTTATAGTGATTCCAACAACAGTAAGTCAGACATGCAAACCTCGATGTTTCAAGCCTATTTGAAGCCCCCTGCTGATGAAGGTCTTATTGTTGCAAACAAGAAACAAAATAGAGTACCAAAAGAAGGATCCTTCACCAACAACCAGGACCCTAATAAAATTCTAAAAGAGAGTACAGATTCAAAAAACACTCATGGAAACCCTAATATCCCTAAAAAGAAAAAGGCTGGAAAGTTGATATCTATCGCCGAGGCTGCTAAAGGTTCTGTGGTATTCCAGCAGGGAAAGCCATGTTCTTGCCAAGCTCGTCGTCACCAACTTGTGAGCAACTGCTTATCCTGTGGTAAGATTGTTTGTGAACAAGAAGGTGAGGGCCCATGCAGCTTCTGTGGTGCGCTCGTACTTAGAGAAGGTAGCACATATGCTGGTTTAGAGAATTTCTCAATTCCTACGTCAGATTCAGAAGCCACTGCTGAAGCATATGCTAAGAGACTTGTAGAGTATGATCGAAACTCTGCAGCCAGGACAAAAGTAATAGATGACCAGAGTGACTATTATGAGGTTGAAGGAAATAATTGGCTATCAACAGAGGTTTTTTTCTTCTTCTCACTCTTACACTTTTATCTGCAAGACTGAATGGTTTATGTTATTAATTCCTTCTGGGAGTCTTATCATATATGTATGAAAATTTTCTATCAACTATAATGATATTTGATGTTTACTGAGGGAATTCTTATTCATCTACATGTCCTATCATGAACTGCAGTCAGATTAAATCTAAAACATAATGAAGAATTTGTAAACAACTGCATCTACAGTTTCTACATTCGTTGGAGGTTGGCTTCCATCACAAAACTCATGTTCTTCGTGGTGGAAATCTTTAGAATTACACAAACTCCTCTTTTGGAGTTTGTCTATCATCTCGGGAATAGTTTGTTTGGTAAAGTTGATAGAAGTTGTCCAGATATTTAGTTTTAATCTTGTCTATGTCATAATAAATCCTGTAAAAGACAACTCAAATAAATGCTTATGTGCATGGTAAAGTCCTTTCAAGAGTCAGGGAGACCATGCAAGAGGTCTGTAAGATTTGCTGAACCCACACAATAACCTCAATAAAAGTCTCGCGAGACTTGCTGCGAAGGAATTTTGATAGATAGTGAGCCTGCTACAGTAACTTAAAAATGCTGAGGAAAAACCACAGCCTGAACCACATCATGTATGTTCTACGGTATTTATTGGTGTTTCTATTTGTTTTTTTCTGCTAATCTCACACTTAAATACTACAAAATCTGTTGTATATTTACCTTGTGAATCTATGAAATTAAGTATTTTTTCCATGACTTTCCTCCCGTGTAAATCCTGCTGATAAACCAGTCAAAATCCAAGAATAGTCGTACGGCATAACGCAATATTGTAGACGTAGGTGCTTTACAATGAACATTGTTTTCTTCTCTTTTAATTTGTCCACAATTTTTCTGTTGATTCTTTCAACAATTGCTTGCGTTTAAGGAGAAGGAGCTCTTAAAGAAGCAGCAAAAGGAAATTGAAGAAGCTGAGGAAGCCCGGCGAGGAAAAGTGATTGTTACATTTGATTTGGTTGGCCGCAAGGTAAGTACATAATTACCATAATACTGTTATGCAATTGAAATTTTTAAGTATTGAACTATAGTTGGACAATCAATGTGATTTATTTTTTGGGATCTTTCGAACAATTTTATCCTTTTGTTAATTTGCTATAACTATGCTAAAGGAGATGTCAATATTGATTGCTGAGTTAGTTTATGAAATGATTATTCAAAAAATGATAATATCCCTTAATCTAAATATGCGAAAATAGAAGATATACCAACTATTGAAGTATGATTTACCGAGTAAGATTAACTTGCTAGTGCCGGGTTTTATGCTTGAAATCTGCTCTTATTCTGCGATGTTATTGGAACATCTTCAGAGATTTATATCATTCGGCATTTTGCTTTAAGGTATGTGCTTATCATCAGAAAAGAGTATAGTTTAGAACTAACCTACTTTTGTTTTTTGGCAAAAGTCACTTGAGAGTTGTCCCTTTCCTAATTGGGATAGCTGGATATGGAATTTATTGTTAGTTCAACTAATATCTAGATGATGTAGGAGGTAGGGGTATCAATGGGTTTGCATATTGGGTTCGGATCCAATCTAGGATTGACCTGGTTTCAGCTCACCTAATCTAAATCCTACCCGATTAGGTAAACGAGTCATAAACTTGAACATGAATTGGGTACAACCCAACCCGACACGACTGACTTGCAGACCCAGGTGAGTGCACTAGTGCGAGCGCAATTGCGCAAGCGGCAAGTTAGAGTGCGACACTTGCTAGCATGACTGCGCAAGAGAAGGACGTGGGGCAAGCAAGACTGCGCAATTGGTGAGCGCTAGTGCGAGACAGGGATGCGGGATGGGGACATGTGACTGAGATGGAGGCACGAACTCAGGAAAGGGATGCGTACACGGGCTGCAGAAAGGGGGATGCTGGTCGAACTCAGGTCTATTCTAGGTTAGTAGGTTGACCCAAACACAACCCGATTTTTGAAACATATCAAGAATTAGGACCCAACCCCGACCCTTTTGTTAAATAGGTCAACCCGAAACCAGATTTTTGTGGTCGGGTTCGGTTCGGATTTTCGGTTCGTGTCGTTAATTTACACCCCTATATGTAGGATATCTTAGGTTTAGAATTTCTAATATAAATTTGCTATGAGATGCACTAAATCATGCAACAAATTCACAAAATTAGTTGAAAGTAAACTCTTAAATTTAACAACTATTCTCTACTTTGTCTGAAAACTGAAAATTCAAAATTAATTTGAATGAAAATTCAATGCCCTTCTATTAGAAATAATGGATAAATGTTCAAAACCAATAAGCCAATGAATTGAAATGCACATATTTATTTAAAAACAAATTGTATTGAATTTGATTAAAATCATTGACATTATCAATCCAATAACAAGTTTTAGAGTGAGTAAAAAGTTGTAGGAAAGAAGTTACCAGAAGCAGAAGAAGTATTATGCTTGTTTAAGGGAAGAATTTCTTTCAAAAATTTTTAGAAGTATCTTACTTACCAAGGAATTGATATCCAAAAGTTAAAAAAATGATAGATCGAAAATTTTCATCTCGGCCTCTCCATGCCCTCTTATTGATAGGGAGAGTTTTAACGGATTATGTTTCAAGATAAATTTTTAAAAGGCGGATTATATTTTAGATAGACACTACTCAGAGATTTCGTCCTCATTTTGTAAGGACTTTATGATTTGAGGTCTAGTTTCTCATATAGGGCTTTATAACAAGAGAGAACTTTTGATTAAGATTAGTCTTTAGATAGGCATATAGTAACATTAGTTTTAGGATTTGAATTTTGAATCTTTAGAATTAGAAATTCATCACCTTGCACTTAAAGTGGATGATAAGAGCAATGATGAGCCCCATTAAAATCCCATGGTACTATTATTACGGGTTGTTGTGGTTCATAGTCTACTTAATCAGAGAAGATAGTTGACCCAACTTGTTCGAAAGATCCTCGTCTGCAACTATGGGCTGCTTCGTCTAAGGGTACCTTATATAGATTTATGATGAATGCTTGCATAAGGGAATACATTCAATTCAACCTTAATTAACAGAGGGCTTTGTGCCCTTTAAAGGATATCATATAATTCATTACTCAAGGGGTTTAGAGTCATTAGAGAATATACGGGCTCTAATCATGACCGTAATATAATTGTGTTATTTTACAGCAAAATTACTAAGTCAGAGGGCCTTTTACTTGTGTCATTTTGGTGGTAAAATATCTGATTATAGGGCACATGTCGCATCCATACTCGCGAGAAATTATTTGAGGATGAATTTTATTGATATTATGGACTAGACATTCACTCTTTTGAGCTGAAGTTATTCTCAAATTTATCCTCCTCGACAAAGTGTTGCGAAGGGTGGATGAATTTTTACTTTAAAATTTTAGGTGATTTAATTTCACTTTAAAATTTTATATTTTGATAGATATTGAATTTGTAATTTTTATTAAAATTTAGGCCCTAAATGGATAACTTTAGGATTTGGAGGCTTTTTAGTAAATTAAATAATCTACTTTGATTGAGATTTAGTTTCAACACGGCCATCATTATAATATATTTTAACTCTGTCAACTCTATCTACTTGTTAATAGAGGATCGGGCTCGTATATTAATTTTATGAATCATATGTAGGCATTAAATGTGAGAGTTCATATTTGCTTGTAATGAATTTCCTTTAAAGAAAGCCTTGAAGGCCTAATGTGAATAGAAAAATCAAATAACTTCATGAATTTTGCGACCCTACATTTGCTTATTGACTCAAGTCTCATCGACTTTGACTCCTTTATGGAGGAGGATTAGACTTGGAATTTAAATGCTTATTTAACAGATATAGCATTCATGGACTTTAGACTTATAAGTTTGTTACTTGTTCAAAGCACATGCAAGTATTTAATTTTAATTTTAATTTTAATTTAAACCAGGATACTATGATTCAATTTTTTATTTGAACCCGTGCAACATTTTCAGATGATAGAATTAAACATTTAGCATAGTTGTCAAAGCATATGTGAGAAATCAAACTTCTTTTTAAATGATGCACATATTTTTCATTGTGTTTGCACGATGCACCAAGTTTTTTGTTGCATTTTGTCGGAGAACGCACAAAAATTTCATTTTCAAAAGAGATTTAAAATTTAAAATTGGTTATAAGATTTCATTTCATTTGCATGCTTTTTTATACACTTGCATAGCATATTTGCATGTGCGTTAACGCACATGTATATTTCATAATGCACTTGAGCTATACATACGTTTCAGACGAGGTATATGGGTTTTACGGGATGTGACGACAGCTCGTTGCTTATCCGAGGTATTTACCGCGGTTTAATGGATACAACAGAGATTTTGATGCATATACAAGGTAAGAATTTAATTTGAGTTGACATAATCTTGATTTTGAATTTTGTTCATTTGTCAATTTAATAATAGAAATAATGTGTTACTATTCTTTTTATTATCAAATTTTATTACTAAAATGGGTCAAATACTTAAAATTGTCTCGATCTGCACGTATTTCCTCAATTTGTGTGTAATCGTCTCTGAATTCGCATCAGTTTGCACGCACGATTTTCATTGGGCGAACTTGTAGCCTATTTTGGGTATTGTCGATGTCCCGAACGCAATGACGAAGTCCGTTTTATGATCATACGTCGTTTGGGCGACGTCATGCGTCAATTTCCTCAATTTGCGCGTCATTGCCTTAGGACCCGCGCCGATCTCCTTATGCGACTTTAATTGAATTAACTCATAGTCATTTCTAGGTAGTGATGACGTTCCGAACACAACGGTGAAATCTGTTCTACGATCGGTCGTCGTTTGGGCGACATTGCACGTCAATTTTCTTGATTTGCTCATCGTCGCCTCGAGATTCTTGTTGATTTCGTTGAACGACTCCAATTGAGCATGTTGATAGTGATTTTTGGGTGTCGACGACGTTCTGAACGCAACGGCGAAATCCGTTTTGCGATTGGACGTCGTTGGGCGACGTCGCGCATCAATTTCGGGTGTCAGTCGTCCCTTTTGACCGATTTTGTCCTGTTTGACTGTGAGGGGTCCCCTCTTAGGCGAACTCGACGTCCTGATTGCAACAGCATAGTCCGTTTGGCAATCGGAGGTCGTTTGACCCTCCATGTGATGAATCACGATGATGAGCGCGTTGCTTGGATCGCCGATTTCCGTCTCTTTTTGTGTGATTTGATGGGTAGTTGTCAACAATTTCTGAGCTTAATTCATTCTTCTGGGCAGAGCCAAATTGCCTAGCTCCAAGCCAAGAAGTAGATCCTCTCCTCAAACATTTACAATATTTAATAACCTACAAAGGAGATGCCCCATAGAAAGTCCCAAGAACAACCATTGGTGGATCCTTACACAGCCAAAGTACTGTAGCATAACTATAAGTTCATAACCCAGGGACTCCAAACTTCAGAGTTCCTCCTCAAAGGTGAACCATTTTTAGTTATAATGGTCAATTGATGAATCTGTGCTCGATAAGCATCAGATTGCGCTCTCCAGATGCTATCGCCAGAGATCAACCATTAACTACCCAGTATTTAAAATTTTGAATACCCAGTCAATGAGCATGGGATGCAACATTTTGGCTTCATAACCATAGATTAGTTGCAGCTAAAAGGTCCCACCAAATATGGGTCCCCAAAAAAAGCAAGCCAATCCTCTTTTGGTTGATTGTTGTGTTGGTTAAAAGCTTGAGGATCCATCTAAAAAAAATTGATTAACTTCTACTAGGAGAATCATGAGATTTGCTTGCTTTAGAAGTCTCGTATAGAGAAAAGCCTCATCAATGCAAACCGAGCATGCTTCCTTAATCACTTTGATGATTGGTTGAAATCTATTGAAGACATTGATTTGGGATTAAAGTTGACAACTTGGATGACCTGGAGGATCTTAATTCATAGAGATCTAATTGGTTTTCATTTCGAGCTTAGCGCTTACGAATATGATGGCTTGTAAAGCTGTCTTATTCTCACTCCTAGTTGACCAATCTCTACAAAGACCTCCACTTCAGCCCATTCTCAATGCCAAATGCAACAGTGATGCCCTGAAGAAGCTTATAGCACATGTGATCCATATTGCCTGTACCACAGCTTAAGAGGCCAAAATCTAAAAGAAGAGATCTCTCATACCAACCCAATTATTATAGTTTAGATTTCAGCCTCTGTCAATGTAGGTGTAAATAAATCAAATTCGAGCGAGCTTAAGTATCATTTGGCTAAACTCATTAAGAAAACGAGCTAACTTTTTGTTTGTATTGACTTGTTTTTTATCAAATGAAACACTGAGTTGTTCACAAACATGAAGACTATATATATATTGGCACAAACGCACACAAATATATGCATGTGTGGGGGCATTTATGAAAATATTTAACGCTGGTTACTATCATTTGAATAAAATGTTCTATTTGGAAGCTCATACATGTCTTCTGTCCACTTGTACACATGTCGTAGATCTGCTGGCGTGGTGTAGCACTGCGGTCATTTGTTCATTTCGTACAAGTATACTATCGTGCAGTACTTGTTGCTTTATGCAGGAGAATTATTGTGCACTAATGAATCTCCTGTTTTTAATTATAGATGATTGCATCTATTGTAGTGCTTTCATATTTGCTCGTAGATAGCAAGTTGAAAGTATAATGAGCCTCCTTGTGCGTGCATATATATATATATATATATGAATTTTCTATGTACATAAATATAAGCTACTTTGAAATGATCCAATAAAGCTGTGTTCATGTTTAGCTCATCAAGTAAAAGGGAAAAATTAGTCAAAATTTCAACTAATTATTGAACTAAATGCAATCAATCGTTTGCAATGAGTCCTATAACAGCCCAATCTGCCTTTCAAAAAAGAGGGATAAAATATAATTCTAGCAAGGCTCCTCACCGTCCACAATGTTTCAGCTCTTTCTTTATTTAATCTCTATGGCCCCATGGGTGAAGGTTATGATGAGAATATCTTTTACTCAAACATTATTTTAGTTTAAAAAAACTTAACCTGTTGAAGTTGTTTTCTTTTACTTGTACAGGTTGTTTTGAACAAGGATGAAGCTTCGGAAATGGAATCCCAGTACAGAATACTGAGACCTGCAGAAGAAAGAGAACAGAACCGCATAAAGCCTAATCCTAGTGTCAGAGTACAACCAGTATTCGTCAATACTGAACCCACTAGGAATCCTGACAAGAGGAAACAAAATGCCCCAACGGCTAATGGTTTCTGCCTAGAAATAAGTGGAAGGGTGCAGCATGACAACAATGAGCTACGTCCTTTGGTTGGAAACTATTCTAGTCATGATGCTTCAGTAGGAGAAGATGAACCTGAATGCTCAGTAGATTGTGGTTGAGAATTTATGATTTTTTTTTTCTTCGGAAAGAAATTGAACCAGTAGCTGATCTTTTATTTTATTGCTTTAGCAATTCAATGATGATTCAAATAGTATACTGGTGCTGTTGATGAATGAAATGACTACAGTGCTACTTAACATTGGTTAATCAATATACCTCCAATGGTTTTCCCTATTGTAAAAGGTTTTGATTCTACTTCTTGGCACTCTTCTTCTCCATTAAATCATGACTATTTCTATTTATCTACCATTCAATAATGCTGAAGCTTTCTGCAAATGATGCCTGCTTTGAAATCATGATTACAGGTAAAAACTGATTTTTTAACACTATTTGATTTGATGATGAACACTACCGTTCTCAGGTCCCAAATTCTAGGTAAGAAAAGTGAAGAATTACGTTAGGTAATCAACTAGCGTAAAACTTATCGAATAATCATGACATGAATCCTTTAAAAAAATGTGTTAATATTAGGGCGTCCCCTGGAAGCGACGCATTGTATGACCTGAATACAATGACAAGTGTGCAAGGGCCGTTGCACCGGCTTTACCGGACACAATGGCGAAAAAAAATTCATGTAGCCGATCCCATGTAGTGGGATTAAGGCTTGATGTTGTTGTTGTATTTGATTGGATGATAATGTGAGGTTGCTGCCATGCACTTGTTGAAAATCACTGATAACGAAGCAAGATTGTCCAAATGGTTACATAAATTCATCATAAAGGTCAGGTAAAATATGCAATAACTATATAAAACGATAGTGCAAACAGTTCAAACTCGGCTCATTTACATCCTTAACAATAAGAAGAGCAAACAGATAAAAAGCATCGTCTGCATGGTAAACTTTAAGGGGGTTCGAAAGCTTCTTATCTCCACAATTCTGAAGCTTTGTTATAATTATGTACAGACCTAAAGCTCTAGGCTTCTTGGACAAGATGCAAAACGTTACAATGAATGTATATGAAGATAACAAATAAATAAATACTCTAATTTTCCCCTCGAAACACAGAAGAGGAGGATGAATTGAACTCATACCAGCTGTGGTCAGCTGTATTGTACATGTACAGGATAATAATGAAAGCGTTTGAAGTTTTGGATTCAGTAATTTGGATTCAATGATGTGGCTCTTGCTGAGGAGTTGCTGGGGATTCAGGCGCAATGGTAAACTGCAGGCCCCTTCCTCTTCCTGATTGCAGAATAAATGCAACTTCAGCTGCCGCTAATGCCGCTGCTTCCTAATCCATGAAAGTTTAGGGTAAATCTTTTTGTTGTTACACATTGAATTTTTTAAATGGTTAACAAAGTAGATTAAAGTTTTTTTGTCATTATTATGATAATAAACTACATCAGTTTATTAAAGCTTGAAAATAGTGGAAACGCAGAATATAATTCTTACCTGTCTTTGCCTTCTCTGATGCAGGATGCTTATGGCCCAAGCCATGATATAACATGGCAATAGAAACCCAGCAGCCCGTAGCAAAAATAGCTGTAATAAAATCAGAAGAAATTTTCAGAAAAGACTCGAGGAATAAAAAAGAAAAGTATATAGTTGCTGAAAGGATGCATATAAAATTTTCACATACAGAGAAGTAGGTGGAAGGATCATCATCTCCATCGGTAGTGATGCTTAATGCATGCCTCAGAAGAAGAAGTGCCATCAACTGGAATAAGTGCAAAAAGATAACATAATCAGAGGAGAAACAATGCAATAAGTAAATGCTCATCATTTTGTTTAAGATTTTAAGAATGATAAATTAAGAAAGCTTAATCAATAGTCAATCTCTCGTTTCTTTATGCCAAAAAAATCCTAAATTTTTCAGCAGTAAGATTTTAAATTGACAACCAGAAGGCATTTCACATTTTTGCATATACAAGACTTACAATTAGAGCAGCAGAGCGGCAGAATGCAGCGCCACTACTATTAGTAGCGGCATACTCATCATATTCTGCTTCAAGAAAGTGGCGTTGAGCTGTTGCCATTGCAAGAATACGAGGATCACTCAAGTCTACTGGAGCACCAGTGATGGTCCAGGCCCCACTGTAACAAATAATAAGATAGAATCAATGGTTATATATATATGTCAGTTCAAAGTTGATCCATCATACATTCAACTAAATGCACTAAGATATCAAATAGTTGTTTATTAAAATAAGTGAGCTCTTCCTGTTCAAAACTGAAGTGTTAAACACAAATGAAACATTTTGACAGAGTTAACTTACGTTATATCAATTGCCGTCTCATCAGGAGGAGGACGAAGTGGTGCCGTGTAATCAGGCTTGTATGTCTGAAAATTATAAATAATACACCCATAAATCAAAATAAATGGTACATAATGACAACCGATGTAATTAATATGACTGTCAAAGGAAATTTATGCACAATGCAAAAAGGGTATAGAATTGCTGAAGTTATGCTACGGGCCTCGAATTGAACAATATGGTTTCATTTGAATTCATTTTATGACCTGCTATGGCATGAATTTTACAATATTTGTCGTCCTGTCATCAATCTTCAATCATTATCATCCAAACTTGGGGCACTCAAAGATGGTTTCTTAAAGAAATCAAACTATGGACCAAAAGCTAATAGTTCCAGCTTGAAAACTCAAAATTTTCTGCATCAATCTTTAATAACAATTATTAATTTTAATTATTTTACTGTAAACAACATCACGATTATTGTATAGTAACACCTATTGGTCCAACAAAACTGTATTACATTGCCTTCTAACAAATTCATATCATGGAACAAAATTATAGAACCAAAACAAATTATTTTAGCAAAATACTCATTAACATTTAATTCTATCAATAATTACTAATGTTCCGTTCATCAAGGATCATGGCCAAATCAATGAATTGCAACTACATCCAACGAAATTCAATTTGAAAACAACCGGTAGATCCACAATTCAAGATAACTGAAGTTTACCACACATCAGCCATCTCCCAGCAAAATTATGAAGAATATTTATTCAGAATAGATGTATCACCAATGCTTATTTAGGATAGATGTATCATCACGAATTGAACCAATGATTATTTGCACTTGCAGCCATCTCCCAAAAGTTATCAACATGGGCTAATTGGAAAGAGATTCATATGATAAAAGTTTTGATGATATTTAAGTTACAGATCAAAACCTTGGAATCCTAATGCAACCTCAAATTCTAGTTAGAAGTTCAAATAAATTAAATCCGGCGAAATAATATCAGAATACAACCTTCAATCATTTTAATATGACCTCACAAGTCACAGGTGAGGCAAGTTTCCTAGACGCAAAATATCTTATAAGACCAAAACAAGAAAGTACGACTTAACTTTTTCACCAAGTATATATCATATCAATGAAAAACATGCCATGGAACTTTTACTGTAGGCCATCACAGTAAATTAATATGCGATAATATACTAGTTTCATCAACCAATTTGTGTAAAAAAATAATCCACTTAAAACATTTTTAAGCATGTTCATGAAAGACCAACTCTCAAATCATGAGCTACAATTATTTCCGCATCACCTTAAAATGAAGACAACAATGTTGAGAGACTAACCATTTACATATGAATCAAGCTTAAGCGACAGAACATAGTAAAATCATCAGTCTGTGATATCGAATGCCTAAATAAAGTGTGTATTAGAGATTCTATTATAAATAAGGTAGTAATAGCACACATTGAAAATATGGTACTATAAAAGATACTTAGGACATTTGGGCATGTATAACTATAGTAGATTAACCAATAAGACCAGTAGAAACAATTGAATTGAAAGGATTAGGAAAGAAAAGTGATGGATCAAAAGTAGCAAGGGAAGCAGTAATGCAAAAAAGGTTCACAAAAATTAACATGTACACCAACAGCGACACTCAATAGTAATAAATAGGCATGAATCATAATCCCAAGAAGTTGGAATAAGGAAAATGACGTTGATAGTGTATTAGAGACATCTTGGAAAATTTCATAAATTAATATTCTCATGTTATAGGCTATTACAACTTCCTTTTATCCAAAAAGTCTATGATTCTAGGGTACAATTGTCTGTAACCCAAATTATTTGAAAAGATATTGATGGTAGTAATTTTGTTTTTTTGAAGGAATTCGACTATGTTATGAATTATAAAAAAACAACTACTTTATCTTTATTTTAAACTTTAGATATAAAGAGGGCATACTTATGCATGATGCTCCCCAAATAAAGCGTCTGGATATAGATTAAAAAATTTTAGCACTTTACTCAAATTAGATCCTCACTTCACCTAGAGTACACGATTTGTGCCTCTTGTTTCCAATAACACAATGTTCAAATTCGTTGAAACCTCACTGTTGAATCACTAGGATAAACCATATAGCATGCGACATAATTTGTTCCATTGAAATTGATGCTGAAAGGTTGATTAAAAATAATGAGATATTAAGGCTTTATTTGGGACGGCTTACTTTCTGCTTTTTAAAGCAGTTTTCTAGTAAAAAATTAAATTTTTTGTACAATAAAGTTGATTTAAGAAGCAGTAAGAAATCTATCACAAACAAAGCCTAAATAAGCTCACTGATTCTTGAAAAATAGGTATCTAGAAGTACCAACGAAAGAAGACAAATTCAAAATTTTGGTAAGCAAAAATGATTATGATTTAGGATTCACAGTTCATAAAGTTGAGAACCAAGAAGAATATCTAACAAACCTCATGGCAAATCTCGCAAATTATATCCCCCTTCTCGTTGCACCATCGTTGCACACAATCCCTATGAGCATACTGTACATAAGAAGCCAAAAAGAGGGAAATGAGAACTGAAACTATAAAGACAAACCAAATTAAAGTAACATGTGAACTAATTATAAACACAACAGAGGGCTACAAACTCCGAAACACAGCATTTTAAGAGAAAAAAACTGCAAGATTAAGCAAAATATCTATCAGGTACAAATAAAAAAGTTTCTGCTTCAACCAGTACTGTGATTTAGAAGACAGCTTGTAAGAAAAAAGCAAAACATAATTGAAATCCTACCAAAAATCAACACTATAACTGATTTCATCGATCACAAGTTAACAGAATAATGTATATAATATAGTCCAAAACAAAAGAAAGAATACAAGGTAAATAGAATGTGATGTAAAAAAGAAATCTGAAAGAACTCTTGTTTTCAACATGAACTTGGCAAAGAGCAAATATTTTAACATTATACAGTTCAAAGAAGCAAGCTCAGAGACTACATGTATACAACATGATTAGTTTAATTATCTAAACCCAATGAATTTCTTTTTTAGGGCATCTTCAATCAAGCGTCATTCGCTCGTTTGCCTCTGCAGCAAGCATCCACCTGAATGGCAAATCGAAATACATTTTTGTGTTTTAACTCGGTTGTGAACAGTGCGACGCCAATATTAGCATCGCACTATTCAGAATGTCATTCACTCATTTTGATTGAAAATAAATATAAAAATAAAGGCGAGAAAGAACATATACAAAATATTCTTTTTTGGTGTTAGAAATAAAGTTCGGTTGGACACGAATTACTGTTTGTTATAACTATTATTGTATTTTGAAGTGTAAAATAGGTTTTTCGATCGGAGATGCCCTAATATATTCCATAGATGCCTTCAAAATATATCTTCTTTCAGGATGGAACAAGTACAGTCCTACAACGTAACAAAAATCCGCCATGCTTTCCCAATAATGTATAGGAATATAGGATACAAGAATTATGGATGCAACGATTGTTCCTCAGCAAAAGGCCAATACATGATGCATTTTTACAATGTTGGGGGTTGGCTATCAACAAAGTTGCTAAGTATAATAGCAAAATAAGCATGGTTTCACAAGAAATAGAACAATTGCTGTAAAATAATAATATCAAAAATCACGAGAAGTAAAAAAAAGTCGCTAGAAAATACAATTAGATTTTGGAAAACTCTTCAAAAAGGCATTTCAGAACACCCTCCAAAATTTTAACTAATAAAACAGGTAGCATAGTTGGTAGGAAGTCACTGAGGATAGACTATGAAGCACAGGTAACCACAGAATCTATTCAAAATCGAAATTATGTCTAACAAGGAAAACAAGATACCAACTAAGCAAGTTAACAAGCATATAATGTTAATCACAGCATGCAAAGCAACAAATCTACCACTTCAACTCGAACAACCAAAAGAAACAGGTAAAACGGGATAAAAAGGTAAACCTTGAGGCTGCCGCTACAAGCGCAGGGGGTCTCAAGTTTCTTGATATGATCCTCCTCCTGACAAATGCGACATTCGACCATCTGAATCAGCGGCTCCTCTTCCTCCGCAACAACCATCTCATCTTTCCCCTTCTCCTTGTCGCAACCCACAGCCGGTGGGCCAGGCACAAAGGAAGAAGAAGGCAAGCGCTCTCCTTCTTTCTTTGACTCTACATCTTGAGGATCTATCAGACGATCCACATGCAACACGACATGATCACCCATTTATGTATGAAGCCAACCTCCGATCAGCAAAAATATTCCAATAAAGCTAAAACCAGGAAAATCCCACCACCTGAAAGCCAGAAAAAACCCCAAAAATAAATCTATGGGAACTCCCTACAAGGACCACAAGAAAAACCTTTTCGGGCAACCAATTCCGGCTAAATCAACGCCAAATTACGAGATTAATAGATGTAATAATCGGAAAGCAAAGAATCTAACATATTAGTAGAGGAAGAAGAGAAAGATTACAGGTAAAGGGCTACTCGCCTGAAGGTCTTCTCTGCCTTCTACGCGTTCTCTCTCTCTCTTGCTTTCTCAACCCCTTCGGTATCGATAAGAACGACGAAGAATAGCTCGCCTTCTATAGGAATTCGAGCAAGGACCGAGCCTCCCAACGCCGTGTTCTGTGCTTAACGGCAGTCCGGACTCATAGCTTATTGTATAACGGAGATATGAACGGTCGTTAGTCAATGTTGACGGCTCCGCCGTATTATTCCACTAGCCACACGCCACGTGCCACGCAAAGTTTTTTTTTTTTTTTTTGAGACATTTATGCCAAGCAGATCATATTGTTGGGTTGGTCGGAAGGTTAGACTTATCTCCTTGCTTAACTTGGCTGGTGAACATGTATGATTGAGAACTCTCAATTTGTGCTTGATTTTTCTCGAATGGCAGTGTCTCTTAAGTGGGAATTTTTATTAGGTTCGGTCTCTTGACGTAGCTCTACATTCGGACGCCAATAACATGTCGCCACGTGCTCTTACTCTTTACCGTGCGGCCCGACAACCCGACCGGACCCGTACCCGGTATTGCTATGTATTGGCTGATTTGTGCAGAACGGGGTATTGCTAGGTATTGCTCTGTATTGCTCAGCAATAACGAGAAATATCATTCTGTCAAGACAAATACCTAGCAATACCGAGCAATACCCCGGCGGTATTGCTAGGTATTGCTCGGTATTGCAATGTCTTGACATAGTGGTAGTTCTCATTATTGCTAAGCAATACCGAGCAATACCTAATTATTCCACTAGCCACACGCCACGTGCCACGCAAAGTTTTTGTTTTTTGAGACATTTATGCCAAGCAGATCATATTGTTGGGTTGGTCGGAAGGTTAGACTTAGCTCCTTGCTTAACTTGGTTGGTGAACGTGTATGATTGAGAACTCTCAATTTGTGCTTGATTTTTCTCGAATGGCAATGTCTCTTAAGTGGGAATTTTTATTATGTTCGGTGTCCTGACGTAGCTCTACATCCGGACGCAATAGCATGTCACCACGTGCGCTTACTCTTTACCGTGCGGTCCGACAACCCGACCGGACCCGTACCCGGTATTGCTATGTATTGGCTGATTTGTGCAGAACGAGGTATTGCTAGGTATTGCTCTGTATTGCTCAACAATAACGAGAAATATCATTCTGTCAAGACAAATACCTAGCAATACCGAGCAATACCCCGGCGGTATTGCTAGGTATTGCTCGGTATTGCAATGTCTTGACATAGTGGTAGTTCTCATTATTGCTAAGCAATACCGAGCAATACCTAACAATATCGGGTTTCGGTCCTGGTCGGGTCGTCGGACCGCGCGGTAAAGAATAAGAGCACGTTGCGACATTTTAATAGCGTCCGGATGTAGAGCTACGTCCAGTGTTCGGACCTAATAATTATTCCTTAAGTGGAGCTCAATCAAGTGAGGGTCATGAGCTTTTTGGAGTGAGTGACTCTTTTAAGTATGCCGAGGATTAGTCAAGCCGCCAAGTGCCTTTTCGAGGGTGGTAGCGGATGGATACCCGTAAAAAAATCTTAAACTTGCAAACTTATTTTGACTTGTTACATCTTTTGTTATTTTTATTTTTATTATTTTTAATTAATTAAAATGTATTACATAATAACAAAAAATTTTGAAATTATTGTGCTTGGTGTGGATGAGCCATTTTATAAATATCAATCATGTTGAAATTATTTTATAAATATAAATCTTATTAATTTAGATCTAAAAAATTTTGTTTAGAAAATATTAAAAATAATTTTGTTATTATATTTAAATAAGAATTTAACTCTTGAAAAAAGATACTTGTTATCGACCTCATGTAATAAGATAAATGTTCGATGTAATTGTTACTGTACGTCCTATTAAATTAATTTTCATATAAAAATTTTGATATTCAAACTATTAAGCATGATAGCGATAGAGTTAAATTTTTTTGTTAGAAATTTTTATTAAATTTAAATGAAATTTGACTTTTAATAATAAAGTGTACAACAAGAATTTATATAATCAATCCTATATAATGGATACAGATTTGTGTTGTTGTTAATAATAATTTAAATTTTTATTCAATCAAAATCAAAATTATTTACTTTAATTAAAAATTAATTTGAATAGAATCCAAGCACAAGTTATTGTATCTTATCATTTATAATATTTTGAAAACTCGAGCGATATTTTTTAAATGAATATCCGATTTTTCATCTTTCAATTAAATAAAATACTTAAATCGGATACAAATTAATCCACCTTAATAAGATATTTCAAATTAAATAAATAAATAATTAGTTAAAAAACTTATATTCATCTGAATTGCTAATTTTAAGTGAAAAATCTTAATTCGATTTAAAATATATATTTTTTTTTAAATATAAATTAATGAGGAAGAGTTGGATGGAGAAGATAATTATAATTAATGCGATACTAATTTATTAATTAAAAAATTATCTGTCATCTGATTTAAATATTAAAATATTTAGAAAATGTAGCATTTTCCATATGTTAAGAGAAATTAAGTTGTTAACAACCGTTTAGAGGTTAGTGAAAATAGTATAATCATGTAATTAAGAAACGGATTAGTTGATCTAAAACACCATTAGGCACAGCTTGACTTGGACATGCAAGAGAGTGTAGCGAACAAGGAGAAAACAATTAAGAAGTTACGGTTTACTTCTCTTTATATACTTCTTTGAAGGTGCGTTATATTGGAAAAATACGTTTAATATTATTTTTTTTATTTTTTATTGAATAATAAAATAAAGATGGATTCAGTATATCTAAAATTCCTTTCTGTTGAAAGTCTTGAGAAGCTTCATACAAAGGAGTTTTAAACTAAAGGTCCGATTAAAATTAACTTTTTTATAAAGATGATTGTTGTTGCATCCTGGAGTATTCGCGGCGGTAGAGCAATATATAGTTTAATGTCTTAGCATTGTACGAAGATCCAGCACACAATCAGATAAGTGAGAGGGTGTAGAGTTCATAAGAGACACCAGAGTTTTTATGTGGAAACCCTGAAAAGGGGGGAAAAACCACGGGGTATGGCCCAATTTGAATGAATCCACTAGTATTTGCAGTCGATTACAAATGAGGCCCTTCCTTGGGAGAAGGTCTTGGCTTGATGTCACAAATGTACAGCATATAAAGTGCATTACATGGTGGGAGTTATAATAGATGTGTTTATTTTGTCGGCACGACCATAGTCGATAGGATGGAGGTCGGAAAGACCGTTGTCTAGTGATGGAGATCATAATGACCATAGTAGGCGATGGAGGTCGAAAGGATTGTAGTCGGCAGGGGATTGGGGACAGAAAGACCGTTGTCTATTGATGGAGGTCGGAAGGACCATAGTCTGCGACGGAGGTTAGAAGGACCGTAGTCGGCAGGAGACCGGGGTTAGAAAGATCGTTGTCTGTTGATGGAGTTCGGAAGGACCATAGAAGGCGAATGAGGTCAGAAAGACCGTTGTTTGTTGATAGAGGTCGGAAGGACTATAGTAGGCGATGGAGGTAAGAAGGATCGTAGTCGGCAGGAGACCGGGGTCAGAAAGACCATTGTCTGTTGATGGAGGTCCGAATGACCATAGTAGGAGATGGAGAGGTCAGAAGGACCGTAGTCGACAGGAGACCGGGGTCAGAGAGACCGTTGTAGTACGACGATACTCTGGTAGAATTCTGGGTGTCAGGTGGTGACCAAGCAGAAGTCCGGGCCTCAGGTGGTGTCGTGGTAGAGCACAGTGCCTCAAGTGGCGGTTCAGCAGAGGTGAGGGCCTCAAATGGTGGTTTGGCAGAGGTGAGAGCCTCAAGTGGGGGTCCGGCAGAGCAATGGCGTCAGGCGGTGGTCCGGCGGAGCAACTGCGTCAGGCGGTAGTCCGGCAGAGGTAAGGGCCTCAAGTGGTTATCCGACGGAGCAACGACGTCAGGCAGTGGTCCGGTGGAGCAACGACGTCAGGCGGTGGTCCGGCAAAGGTTAGGGCCTCTAGCGGTGGTCAGGCGAAGGTGAGGGCCTCCGACGGTTGTCCGGCGAAGGTGAGGGCCTCCGACGGTGGTTGGGCGAAGGTGAGGGACTCCGGCGATGGTTCGGCAAAGCTGAGGGCCACGCGCGGTAGTCCGGCGAAACTCCGGTGGTGGACCGTCGGTGATCCGGTGGTGGTCGAGGAGGAGCTTCTTCCTTCTCTTCTTTCTCTTCTCTTCTTGCTTCGATCCCCTCTCAAGAGAAATGAGGGGTCTATTTATAGATTTCTGGAGTGGCATGACCCGTAAATAGGTGAGAGATCAAGGGTCAATGTGGAGTGGTTGGATGGACGGCCGATATTGAATCTCTTGATCATGCACCGTTTGTCAGACATTTGAAGGCCTTAATAATGTCGGAATTCAGCGATCTTGGGCTTGTTGGATTTGTCTCGTCGAGCTGCTTGATTCGTTTATAAGCAAGTCATGTTTGAAAACCATTTGGTAACACAATTTGTGGTATGAACTTTCCAATTGCGCTTTGGATCTTGAATTGGATTCATTTGGGCTCGGATTGAGTCAAATTTGGTATCGTTGGGTTTGTATTTCCGAGACGCTCAGTTTGACTGTAAGTTTGCTGAAATCGAAGTTCAGGTGATCCCGAATTTCATTTTTGAAGTTTTAGGAATGATTTTTGCCTCGAGATTCGTGCCCGATCAAGATAATTTTTGATGATATATTAATTGCAAAATTTATGTATAGAAAATATTTTTCGGATGCTATTGTAGATAAAACAATTTTAGCACAAAAATATATTAAAAGCAGTAAAAAAATTATTGCCAAATAGAAATTATTATTACAATCACAAGAGTTAAGAAAGTTCTTTCAATTAAACCTAAAAGTCCAATGCTCATTAATTGTCATTTGCTTTGCTAATTATAATTAGCAGTTGATTATAGCCAAATGAGATCTGGAAAAATAGCCAAAAAGAAACGAATGCAAGTTATGGCTGGAGTTGTGGATGGCAATTATGGCTCACAAAATTAATGAATTACATTGAATTATGTAACAATGATAATTTTTTTATACTTTAAGTGATGGTTTACGATTCAATTTCTTTATAAATTTAGTTTGAATTCAATAAGAAAAATGAGCTTGTTGAGTCCTAGAATATTCACAGCGATA